ATGTGATTTGATGCTGTTATTCTGAAGCGCTATTTCTTCATATAACGTTCGTCGATAGCGTGCGCCTGTTATAATATAAAGGTTTTACTGATACACCAGTTGGAGCCACATAAGCCACGTTAAAGTTAGCGTGAGTGATACAGCACAGGGCTGATTCATGTCCATATGCAGGAGGTTATTTGAGTCTAATGTTGAGCTATTTTGCTTAATGTTCTAGAGCATGATTTTAAAACTTTCTTCGTTACCTGCATTTCAATCAACTCTTCCAAGTTGATCGATTTGGGAAAGGACAAAAATATCTCAAAATAGGTCGCCACTTCTCATAATTCGGTACTGTGCATCCATTTTGCTTTGTGTTTTGCCTCCTATTCTGACGACTGTTTGTTTAATTTAAAAAAACCATTGAATAGTGAATTAGTGCAGTCAGTTCTCTTTTATTGCAGTCTTCCAATAAATTTAGCGCTTACTGGCTAAGTTGTTTTTCGGAAGTTTTGAAACTCTACATCTTTTAATAGAATGGTTTTGCTCTTACTCGTCAAACGTTTAAATAGACCCTAGTAAGTGTTCTAAGTATCAGAAATTACATAATTTAAAACCGAATAACCATGTGCCTCGAACTAGGTATAGAAGCAGAAACTTTGTTAAAAATGTAAAAAAATTGGTTTTGATTGATGTTGCAAATAAGGAACGATAAAAGTTGTAATCGAATAGATTTGAATTCGTCGTGGTACTTGATAAGTAACTTTTCGGTAAAATTGGTTATCTTATATAGACTTAGTTATCATTGTAACAAGTACGACATAATCAACAAAACGGTGATCCTCTCTGTGTTATCTTGAAAAGTCGTTGATTAAATTAAATGTGTCTTGTCTGATAACATGATAAAGAGTCAGTCAACTGGACCTGTGTTATTTTACAAATACTACCTTTAATGCAAAAAGTAACTCAACAGTTTTGTAATTTTGTATTTAAATAGCAGGTAAAAATAATTATGACTTAGGGTTGAAATTGCACAAACTTGTAATAATAAACACAAGATGTGGAAGACTTTTACATACCTAATAATACCCTTTATAGAGATATCCTTGTTTAGTGTGACAAAAATATCTTATTTGTATGAATATGTTTTATACCGATTCAATGATTTTCACTATACATGGGATACCTAGTATATTAACTAACAAGTAAATCCACAACTTTATTTTACACCAAAAATAGTAGTTTTTCGTTAAAAACAAGAAACCGTCATATCCAAAAATTATGTTAAAACTTGAGTAAATTTTAAAAATTGTGAATATTTGCCTTTTAAACAAATTTACCATCTCTCATGATGTGACCACTATACTCACTTTATTAAAAAAAATTAGTTTAATTGAATTGAATTTTCAAAATTTTTATTCAATTCTGCTTTAAAAAAAATTAAATGGAAATATTGTCAGGTCTTGGACTTTAAGGTAGACGCGAAAAAACTTCTTAAGGTTCCGCTGCACGAGTGTCTTGCATCTTCAGTGATGTTTTTGTTCGAAATCTTACACTGGACGCTCGAGAAAATATCAAGGCGAAATCGTTTTGCACATCAGCTTATAAGATCGAAAAACTTATACTTATTATCAATTTTCCACAAATGTCGGTTTCAACATTTGTTAAAAACAAACACGATTAAAGCGTACACTGAACTGAGCGAGTTTTCAAGCGAAAAATGCAACCTTTGAAGATGCAACAAGGCCGCTTCTTCAGTTTAGCTACATTCAAAGACAATTACTTTTTTTTGGTAACAAGGTCTGTCGAGGCAGCCGATTTACTTTATGTCTGAATTCTACGACTAATTTTAAGGATTTTTTCTCTTCCTGGATCCTCAACGGATTATGATTTATCCGGGTATGAGTAGTTGCTCAACAATGAATTACATTTTTGCAAGCAATTTACAATCAAAACATGTCTTAAATGCATTCAACCGAACAAAACATTTTTCCTGTTTGGATATTGTAACGGTAGCACCACTGCTAGAAGCACGCATCTACGTCTTCCAGAAATGCAAACGTTAGGTAGAACATTCACAATTTTTGATTAACCAGCTACGTTTCCTAGACCAAATTATGAAAGTTAAATAATGCAGCAGAATTCTCTGAACTACTTGAAAATAAAATATTCCCAGTGCTAGTAGAAGAAGAATTTCTGCATTTACAGGACAAAATTAAAGGTCTGTGCACCATAAATTGAAAGAAAATGGACTGCGTATACTATACTAGTAAAGAACGTATCTCACCGAATCCTCACCAACGAATTCGTTTTTGTGACAACTTTAGCAATCTGCCTCGTCTTCCAAGAACACTTTTCTGTGACGAAGCTATAGTTATCAGAGATGAAATCAACAATTTCCACAATGACCATGTGTGGTCAAACGAAAATCCTTATACTAGTCGAGCAACCCATTTGGTATCAAATTCTTCGTAAGGGTTTCGACTAGAATAAATAAAAATGAGAATTTGAACGACTGAGTATTTTTAGAGATCGTTTTACTAAAAATTTAAGGACATTTTTGTTGAAATTCGAAAACGTGTGCTTTTTGTTTGATTGAAATTAAGCAGTTGTTACCACTTTTTGAGCTTTGTTCTCTCAAGACATATGAAAACACTTGCTTATTCATCGATGAAACCTAATTTTAAAGACCAACTCAACGGAATAATTTACTAAGAAATTGATGAGCTAACAAGCAACAGGTGTAGTCAATGTGAGCAGTTTTAATAATATTTACAGTCAGTGCGCCTGTATTAAATTAATTTTTTGTCTAAGCTAAAACGACCACTTCGTCTTTGTAAACTCAATTTGGGACATTTCAAAAACTTTTTTTTTTTAATTTGCTAAAACTGAAACAAATGTGGCTTAAAACGAGTAGTAGAATTCATATATGAAATTGTATTTCAAATCCCTGGGCAGACCTTTTAGATTAGGCATATTTTGTAAATGCTAATCATTTTCAAAGGCTATTTTCACAATCCATTCCCTATTTTTACTAGTAAGAAAGATGGTGACTTAGATTTGCTCATTCCTGTATAAATATTTGTTCCATCGTAATCCACACATCCAGAAAAATCCTTTATGATTAATATTAATGGTAGGCGAAAAGCATCAAAGTCTTTACATTTTAGTGAGCTGGCCGAATTTGGAAACATTAATTTTGTTGCTTTCGACAGTCCATTTTTTTTAGATATATTTGAATTAACTTCTAGAATTTTCCAAGCGGTTTAATGATTAATATTGTATTATAACTACTATTACAAGAAAATTGCAAAATACAATAAATCCAATCAATTTTTAAGACTTAAAACGTAGAACAGTGGCTAATGTCGGAATTTGAACTTTCATATGGACATATAAGGACATAAAGCACGTTATCAATTGGATGAATAATTACCGCAAAAAAATATGAGGCGACATCAAAAAGAGCCGAAAAAGCAAATCTCGCTTGAAAGCACAAAAATTATTTCTGAGTGAAGCTTATGCCTGATTGTTTAATAAAAAAAACTTATTTTTGCAACTTCAGTTTCTAAGTAAAATAAATTTCGTAAATTTGCTACTTATTTTGACCTACTTACTTGATAACAGTGACGAATTCCTTTTTGCCTTTCAGGAAATTATTTTTTAATAAAAAAATGAAAAGCAGAAAATGCACCCATACGAAATGCTGTATACACGAGCTTTTCATTAACAAAATATGAAATGTCTATATTTATGCAAAATGTTAAATTCTCGGTGTTGAAAGAAAAAACACAGTTTTGACTGTGAGTCTTCAAAAACATTTTCATTTCCAGATTTAATTAACTTTAAACTCATATGAAGTGTTCTGTTAGTACTCCTAACGCACGATCATCAAATAGTCCGCTATCCACCGATCGTCCTACAAATCAAAAAATGCATCCGCTGATATTACCAATTTTAACAAATTTTCATTGCATTTATCCCACTATCTGCTCCTAACCATATGACGAATACAGTGTTTCCGTTCGTTATGATTAGCGCTAAGTTCGAAAGTTGTTTTCAGTTAATTTGTGATGTGCTCTTATCGTGTACAGGTTTCTGCCCCTTAAAAATCTGTTTGCACTGTAAACGTTATTGTTGTGATTAAGTGAGCAATGAGTGTGATATGGGTTGGGTTTTACAGTTTCATGTTAATTACGAAAATCTGTTCTGGTAAGTGACATCTACGTGGTACTTTTGTTTACTTGTATGGAAATTGATGAACACGGTTTGGAAATTTGAGAAACTTTTGTTTGCAGTGTTTCGCAAAAGTATGAACAGTAACATGGTTCAAGAAAGAGGATTGTTCCTAAGCATACAATGCTTTGCAAAATTTACTTACTTCTAAGAAAAATAGCTATTATTAAAGCTTTCATGTTAAAACCGTATAAGCAAGGAAAAAGGAAAATAAGAGAAAGATGAACCCGACTCTTCAAACACCAACGGTTCCTGTTTTTCTTATTTGCAATTATTGTTAGTTTTGCTCTTTGCTAAAGATTATCTCGTAGAGCCAAATCGGATAATTGTGGAACAAATTCGATTTTGAAGGCCATTTTCTCCAAAACCACATTTTCAGATTGGCCCTCACGAAACACAATTCTCTCCTTGATTAGAACAACATAGTAATTATTTGCTTTCATACTTTGCCCGAGTTTTTAAGTTTTTACTCACTGGTTCGGACGACTCTGAACTTCAAACATTTGCGCTCTTCGTTCTTTTTTTGCATGAGCGAAATAAGTGTATTTGATTGTTGAAAAGGTTGGCATCTGAACAAACAGCAGAGCACAACAACCTTCCATGTCGGTTATATTTTTCAAGATTAATTTAGGAAATAGCAGTTTCAAAGGGATTTCTTGGGGCTTCAAACTTAGTGTGTGCCTGAAGCTCCTGGTTAGTTGCGTGATAAAATATGCAGCGCGATAAGAAAATTAGAGGCATTTTTCTTCAAGGATTGTAAATTGTAACAGCCCGTCCTTTGATAGTTTTACGTTGTAGAGTTGTCAATGTCTAAATAAGAATTGCATACTTTCAATCAGACAAAACAATTAAAAGTTCAGTTTTGCATAATTTGTAAGCTAAACCGAGATTCACAGCAGTTATAACTTCTAAATCGTGTTTATTTGTGAAACATATGCATAGGAAAAAGTGGAATATATCTAAAATCTTACACACGAACTTACATTATTTTCCCATATACATCCACATAATTTTCTTTAACACATTCAATCTTTATCGTAAGTTCCATATTGACAATTTTATCATAAACATACAAAAACACCCACATTAAAACGCACATGTTGGTGTCACGATTAATAATTAAATCTAGTCAGAGTTCATATTTATTCTTGACGAAGAAGAAGTGGAGGAAAATTTGTTCAGCCTCTATTTCAAGAAAGTTAGAAATACAAGCGTTATAAAATCACACCTATTGAGAAGTCGCGAAAAGTATACTTTTGTCATTGATTCGAATCAAAGAAGCTTCATAATGTTTTCATATCGCACAAGAACCGCATATGTTTGAATGGAAATCAACAATCCTGCAGAGACGAAAAGTCGTTGTAATATCGGAATTTCCAACTGAAATAACAGCCATCCTGTTGGATACTTAACTATTATCGACCAAAAATTATTCTTTTTCATTCGAAGAGAGTTTCATGTATTAATAATTGGCCGTTTATGCATTTGAATGCAAGAACCAATTTGAATTATGGAATTTATTTACAAGTCATGAAACTACTAAATCAAATAAACGTTCAAATAGTTTACCTGATTCATTTTTGAGATTACATAACATTGCTCACTGTTGAGTTGCTTTTATCGGGGTATTAAAAATATTATAAATAATTTTAAAAGTACTGTTTTTTCTTTAAATTTGGATAAAGTATGTGTAACAAACGGATCAGAAATAATTCGGAATGTGTTTAAATGCGTTTAACACTATTTTGTTCTTTATTCAAAATAGCTGAACACATGGCCCTAATTTTGGAGTGCTTTCAAAAATCAATGTTTGCATTTCAATTTGTAAAATGCTCTTTAATATACTAAATATTTTCCTTCAGTAACAAGCATCGACTATTTGATCATACAAACGCAAACTGCAAAACAAATTATTTAAGCAACTCTGCAAACATTAATTCACAAGGTACTTAAATCATCCATAGAATAAAACGTAATATTTAAAACATTATTCAGCAATAAATCTGTTATGTGCAATTGTCGTTTTAACCAATACAGTAAGAACATTCGGTGTTTGTTTTTTTACAAAGTGAGTCGGTTTGATCGCACTGTCCTTCCATAAAAATAAAATATATGCCCAACGAAATAATTATGTTTTGACCACTGCCTCGTACTATTCCATTCGCCGTTCCAAAATCCTTTTTTTGCAGAAATCCCAAAGAAAAACAAATATTTGCAAGGAAGGAGAAAGTTATACTAACATGATCACTATGCGCTATGTGCAGCTTTTGCATAAAAAGCTTATTTTATAAAATACGATATAGCAAACATTACTGTTTGTGGTTTTTCGCTGCACATGGTTTTTCTAATAAAACCGAGGCACAGTTCACAAGCTCTAGGGGTTTCGCTATTTAAGAAAGTAATTCAAAATATAGTCAACCAAATAAGGAAATGGTAGATGATTTTGTGCCATAAATTTTCTTAACTAGTATTTAACGAAAAACAAAGTAGTTTTCAACGAGCACGCAGTTCTTCGATTTAAATTTTGCATCTTTTCGTCATTCTTACAGTGCAGCTGAAGCTAGTATGATTTACCCCGAACCTTTTCTCTTGCGGCCTCATCCAGCACTGAGAAGATTTATAGGTATATATTATTTTTTATATACTTCTAGAGGACAACAAAATTTAGACATTGTTGAGGAAGATCCAACAGCAAGTATGAGAGCGATTGTGTGAAGAAACGGATGGACAAAAACAGTTGTATCTTTATCAAATTCTACGTGTCCAAACGCTACAATGGTTTTTATTACAAGATTTTTCGACAAATAAACTCGCTATTGCCAAAGCAACAATCTCCCAAAATTGAATTAACAATTTCCGAGATACGCATGTTTGATGTCGTCAATTGTCCATAAATGCACCAAATGCATGAGCAATGATTGTAAACGTTGCTGTTCGGCATCACATTTTAGCGGACGTATTTGAATGTTTTGGAAAATTATTAGCCCATTTTTCTTACCCGGCGTTCCATTCTTCCGAATAGATGGAATGACCGATATGGTTCAGTTGCTTGGCCGCCCGAGGTGGCCAGATCTAAATCCTTGGAATTTGTTCTTGTGAGGTTTTATAACAGTTTTGTCTACAAGTCGAAATTGCGTATAGCAGATCGTTGTTTCGAATCTCACGGTAGACTTTTAACATATTATTTTTATTAGACTGAGTCGTGGACTTACGTTGTGAAAACTTGATATTAAATCCTCATGTTTATATTTAAAAGACAAAGTATTTTGAAAACTTAGTTAGCTTTCATAAATTCCATTTACGGTATTTTGTGTCTTTTGAATATCCTCTTCAAATAATCCTGTATATAGGAAACCTAACAGCATTTGTTGTATGTATTGCATACTTCTATTTCCATATAAATAAGCAGTACTAATATCTTATCTTAAACTTATGCCAACTTTCATTGGGTTTGAAGAACGCCATGGAGACACAAAATATAAAACAGTTTATATCAATATCTTTCAAATCTGGAAATCTCCTATGCAAGTAATTATTCTAAGCAACACTCTACGTTGTTCATAAGAAATAAAGGTAAAAATGTAAGTATGACTGATTAGAGATCCCTAGTCAACATGTCAGTAATATACAACACAATACGTACGTACAACACTCTACGTTGTTCATAAGAAATAAAGGTAAAAATGTAAGTATGACTGATTAGAGATCTTTAGTCAACATGTCAGTAATATAAAATAACTAAATAACTGTAATTTCTTGTAACTACGTATAAGTACAAGTGCGATCATAAACAAATATTGCGCTAAAAATTCCTAGTAAATTAAGTAAATAGCGTGTGATTTCTGAGAAGTTATTCCCAGGGAAATAACGAAATCTGCCGAATTCAAATAAATACTATTTTATAAGCAGCTAACAAAGATCAATAAATTTGAACGCGACATAATCTATGGAAATTAAAAATTGTGCGAAACCAATCATGAATCATATATTGTTGAATTGATTGTAGGTACAGAGTACCTACAATCAAGTAGGTACTCGAAAGCGAAAGGGTTTCTAACTGTGTTCTTATTATTCTTTCTGTTTTAAAGTCGATGATCATAAACAATATTTTAAAACTTTGTACTGAATATATGTTTGCATTATCTTATGATACTCATCATTAACATAAGTTACTGCTTAATAATCGCGATAAAATTTTATTTCACGTTTTATTATTGTGAGGATTTTTCTTTACTTTGCGACTTCAATACTTCTCAGATTTATGTTCCATTTTCCAGAAATGCGTGTTGAACTTTCCTAATACTTCTTTAGCCTTCTCTGTTTGTATTGAAAATTACATTAATAAACTTGATTACGTCGAATTTAATTTATCCGCGTAAACACGCTTAACTTTATTTTTAGTAAAATAAACAATTTTTTTTTATGTTCTTGATTTAGAAGAGAGTAGTGTTGCTCATTTTCAAAATGCACAGATCGTTCACATTTGCAATGTGATTAATTCTCTTTTTCCAGGTTTCCACCCACGTCTATCAATTTGTTTTGTCTTTCTATTTGCATTTCTATTCAAAACTTTCTGTGGGTTTCACTAAAAGTCCCTGAAAGTTTTATTACCCACGATCTTCTTATTTTAATTTATTGCACATATTGTTAATTTATTCAAATACAGTTCGATGCATGTTTTTCCTTATCAAATATTTTCTAAACTTTTGGATTTTTCTTTTCTTTCACTTTAGTATTTGCCCTATACAATAATTAGCTGAATCTCCCCTGCGGTTTTCAAGCCATATTCAATTTAATAACTAACACTTTAATTTCTTAAATTTTCTGCATACTTGAAACAGTTCTATAATACAATCTCACCGTCAGATTAAACACTTCATGCTTGCTGGCTCATGCAGTGGCTTTCCTTACATATTTTTATTTGCTGCTTATTCAAGCTGTAACACCTTGGCTGAAAAATGCACCAACAAGCTGCTAATAAATAATGTACTATTATTTTCTCCTTATTTAAGTAATAGGATCATTGGCATTGTTTGTGGCGAAGCAATTGATAATATTGTTATTAATATTTACTAGGTGGGATTTTCATAGTGTGATAGTGTACTAATAGACAACAATATAGGAGATTCTTTTTGTTTATCAACATGTTTCGATTTTATGCTGGCAGTTTTATTCCTATTTAAGCGGTTTTTTTGAAATTATTGGTATCAGGTTATGCTAGTGGCTTTAACTATGTACTGGGTCCTAGTAAATGAGTAACAAGAAAAATGAAAAATGTAGGTAAAGGTCAACAAATATAATTGAAACTAGATTTAACCAAGAAACGCTCAAATCAAAAAATGCTTAAAACCATTAAACGCGGAAAATTATTCATTGGAGCACGGTTTAGGTACTTCAAAAAAAAAGGAAAAAGAGAAATTACACTTGGAAATGGAAACTCAGCCTAGAATTTTTAAGAAAACTGGAATTGGTTTTTAAAAATCATGCTTAGTTTACCGGAGTCTACAAATATAAATTCTCGGGAGCATTTTGGTGTTGCAAAAACACGTAGACAACTAAACTAACTTTAATTAGGCGTTCTGAAGCAAAATACGAGCGTAGGTGGAATGGTTAATTTTTAGGAATATTTTATTGCTGAATATCCAACAAAACATTTTTAACTCATAAACGTAAATTAACATTCAAATAATTCATACTTTCGGATAAAATTGACGTTTTACATGTCCTAATGCTCTACATTCTATGTGTATGTGTATTCAAATGACCATCGACCGGAAGACGAGAGGCTACATTTTTGTTGAAAGGAAACGGCGACTACGCTGTAGTTTTAAGGAGATATCGGTGTTATCGTAATGGGGAAGTCTATGTATAAGATAATTCCTGTCACTCCAACAATTACTAAGAACAGCTCAACCGCCAAAACACGGTTTATTTCAACATGCGGTTACCATTTTGCGGTATTCAAACAAAGAATTTTAAAAATTATCATCACCACGATCCACATTCTTCCAAAAGACACAGACTGATTGTTCTGAGACCCCAACTAACTAACATTGAAAAAGAACAAATTTTACGCATTTTCCTAAAATTATTGACGATTATGTTTTCACAAATACCTCAAACAACTATTTGCTTTTATTTGCCCTACTCATAGTAAGGAAAATTTGAAATTGGAATTATGCGCTAGTCTGTACTCTCAGTGTTGTACTTGCTAGGAAAACTCTGTTAATTTGCTGTTACAGCCCTGTACATTGCACCCAAAATAATCCGAAATTTTGAGGAAGAGGATCCTATTATTGACGCTGGAAGCAACTATACCCTAACATGTGAAGGAGCTCAGTCTATGACGTGGATTTACCCGCAACCTTCAGTATGTAACTTTTTGCCTTGGCTGGCAAACTTTATATTAGTAAGAGGCGCAATTAAATAGGAAACATTCTGCACATTTTTTCGACAATAAACTTATAGAGTTATTAGGTATTGATTTAAGCGTTAGACTCCGGAGGTTCTCGTATTACTTAAATTTATAGTTTTTTACATTTTTTTTACAAGTTTTAGTACATGATTCTATTATTATACTATCGGACTTGACTAGCTTCTGAATTTCGGCTCGAGTCATAAAATTATCTGATGTTAAACTTGAAAAGTTGTTGAAAAGTTCTCCATGTATTGTTTTTGTTTCATTCTACAAGATATTTTATTGGATTGTATATTATTACGTTCGAAGTTGATGTAAAAAGTTATTACAATTTAGTAAATTTATCACCTTCTACCAAAGCATAAGACTGTGTATCATATAGAAGAGTGTACGCAATTTATTTGTCTTTTACTGATTCCTCACTCTACTTACTTTCCCAACCAACGTTGATATTCAGTTCTTTGCTTTTTTGGAAGGATACAGTTTTGCAGAGTCTGATTATTTTGTGGTACAGTTTCTTTTATACGATTCAGGTTGTAATAATATGTTAGAGAAACCTGATAATGTGTTGTCTATTGTCTTATAGCAAGCACGAATAAGTCTGCAACGACTTATGATAGTGCTTGCTTGTAACATAGACATAAACTTGTTCTTTTTCACGCCTTTCTGATTGAGTATCAGCAGATAAATATAAATTTTTTATTCTAATACAGTCGTAATTATCAGTAACAGATTATTTATTAAATTTGAGGATGCTTCATTCGATTATTGTTTAAGTGTTAATTCAGCCATACATTTTAGAATGGAAACGAGTGGACAACGTTTACTATAACAAATCAGTACGCTAATAATTCAGAAGTTATTAATCGTTCAATACTTCATATAAGCAACATGTCGTACCCATTTGTGGGGTATTATTCCTGTCAGAACGAAATCGGAGATGATCAAGATCAGGTCTATTTGTATGTGAATGGTGAGATAAAATCTCCAGGCCAATTTTGGATATAACAACCTTTTCGTTATGTTATAGATCCTCAGCACCTTTCAGTGGAAGACACCTATAACATGCAATTTGCTGTTCTCAATGAAGAAGTTACTCTTCCATGTAGGCCCACATCGCCTAAAATCAAAGTCAATCTGACCTGTTTCGGCAAAAATGTAAGTCTACAATTATTATAAATATATTCATAATTATTATTAAACGGTAATCGATTTGATGGAATTGATAAAGTGAACAATATCCCAAATTTGTTGCGGTTAAACAGTCGAAAAATGCTGAAAATAGATTAAGTAAGAAACGTATGTTTGGTTCTTTAGTATTATTATTCAACTTTAAAAGGTAAGCAAAGTCGATATATTTTTTGTTGTTACAGAAGCGCAAGTTTACATGAAATTTGTACCGTGATCTTTTGGAACTTCAATTACAATTCAATTTATATTCCTATGATCTGAAAAAGTGGAAACTTTTCGCTTGATAATGTTTTTAATGAAAATTACATGGAGATGTTTCCACACTTTCATTATTTAATTATATGTATTTACAAGTTTTAATTTTGGTAAAAGACGAAATATCAATGGTTTTGGAATTGAAAATGCTCATTATGCAACGTTCGCCGTTTTGGCCCCAATTCTAAGTATTATATTCGATTTATTTTATATGTATCGTTTTTGTTTCTTTATTGCCTTTTGTGTAGAGTGTTCACTTTTGAACCCTCAAATAGATTGCAACAATATTTAAGATTATCGATATCGTAAATTATTTTGTATTTTTATATCGTATGTACATATTCGTATTTTATACCAGCAAATGTAACCCACCCACAGGTTCAGAGAGACTATCAAATTTTCAACCCTCGCAAAGGATTTCTGGTTAATATGACAAAGGAACAAACCGAATATGTGTTGTTCAGCTGCACTTTCTTCAAAAAGGAAGTTACGATGTCCAGAACAATTATCGTAGTTGTGGAGCGTATGTGTAAAAGTCTCATACATAGCATGCCTTGCCATTCAGCATAATAGTTGATAGATTTAATGCACTTGATTGTGATATTGTGGGTCTATAAGCCCACAACATATCCAAGATCGCTAGCTAAAGTTGTGATAGCTACTTTAGAAATATATTGCTTTTAAAGCCTCGACTGCTCGAAAATTAGATCTTCCAGGAACTTTCCTAGAAAATAACTTCCGAACGAAACTCTTCGAAGCATTCTGTTAAAAGACCGCACCACCGCTTTGTTTGTTACTTAGTGTTAATGAAACTCAGGCGTAAATGTGTAGGAATGAAAGGTGTCTCTTGAAAATGAGCCGCACAGATAATCAGACCTTGATTATATTTTGTAATTGTGTTGTGAGAGGCGTGAAAGTTTCTGTTGTGTCAACTCTGGGTTGGGAAAGATTAACAAATAAAAGTAGGAAATCTAAACACCGCCGGAACGTAGAAATGAAAAAAATTGTAGAATTTTACGCTAATAAATGCACCAGTTTACATGCCATTTGGTGTATACTTTTATGTAAACTTATATGAATTTTTCATAGAAAGTGGCCCTAATAAGCCATGCGCTGTTTGTGTAATCAGTTACAAAATTGCAATTCTTTCTTTTTAATTTATTTTATTTAACAAGGTGCATTAATTGAGTGTTATACTAAAAACATAAGGAAACAGATTAACTAATTATTACTTGTTTTCGTATCAAGTCAACTTATTAAATCAATTTCTTATTCAAAACCAAAATATATGCGGAACAACTTTCCAATCCATCATCCATAGTTGCAGGCACCGTTTGATGCTCATAGAGGATTCCTGATAGCTCCGACTGAGGTGAAGATGATCCCATTTTTCTGCAAGTTTAAGAAGGGACCCAGCATGAAAAATTTTAAAATTTCTGTTTCTGTGGAAGGTTTGGATTTTTCGTTACATGTCCGCTGTACACAAAGCACATAATTCTTGTAAATATTACTAATTAATCAACTGTATAGTATATAATTCATTTGCAAGCAGAAAAGCTGGAAATTCGGAACAAGAATTTGAAATTTTTGTGGATCTGCAGGTGTAAATTTGTTTCTTGTATGATTTATATTTTCCGATTCTTCGTCTTTTTCCATTTTTTGTAATTTTTTACAGTTCTGCAATATGCAAAGTTCAATAAATTTTGTAGATTTGGGTGTCCCATACTTCTCATTCATTGAGTGGGTTGTTGATATTTTGTTACATAATTCACCCGGAGAA